TAAGCAGAGGTAAATAATATGAGTACTTCATTTGAAAAGTATATAATTGTATCATTGTTTTCAAATCTATTTAAAACAATTATGAATAAAAATGTTGATTATCTAAGATGCCAATGGCAGATGATCTGCTATACTATGGTTTATCGCGAAACGTCATGTGTACCTACTCTGATGTAGCGGATTATGCCATACGATCTTATTTTTTTTTAAATCGTCAATTTCTACAGTAAACAATAACATTGCTGAGTAAACAACGAGATACTTTTTTAAATGATGTATCATAAGCCGCTACAACCCATTTAAGGGTGCAAATGTAGCAACCTGACGGTGCATATTAGTGATGCAGTTTTCAGGTGAGAAAATTTAGTTCCCAAGTGTAAAATCGACGTGTCTTTGTGCGCAACAACACCACAGGCATCAAGATAACAGATTTATTCCATGTCATGGTTTGCACGATTAATGACGCTCGCGTTTTCCGAAATTTAGTTTCACTTTTTCCTAAACTATTCTATCGAATTATGTGGAGTGGCCCTTTCTGCTCTACCAATCGCAACTTTCTTCGAATGTCTCTTATGAGGTCCTGGACGGAATTCAGATCAATTTCTCTCAGTTTTTCGTAAATTCGCAGTCTTAATTGTTCTTCATCTTGGGCTTCCCAGCCGCCATGGTAAACCTTCCTAGACAGTAAAGCCCAAAAATCCTCCATTGAGCGAGCCTGCTGCGTTTTTGAGAACAAAAGGTATGTTGTATTGTCGAAGTTTGGTATGTCTTGAGTAATGGCATGATGCTAGGTCTGGCCAAAACATGAGACGGTCATTAGCATGATGTTCGTGGATAAACTGAAGCAATGTGGAGAGGCAGTTATCAATATAGCTCTGACTATTCAAAGCTTCACCCCTCACTCTTCCCACAAAAAGCTGGGATACACCCCTGTCAGAAATTGCGCACCAGACAAGGATTTTTTCTGTAAATTTCACTTCATATTTGTATCTAACATTGTCAGGGCATTCATCTACGTTGTCCGTATAAAATCCGAAGTTTCCCTTCATTTCAGAATTACTCAAAGTGAAATACTTTTCGTCATCTAAAATAATGATTTTTTCATTGGCAAAGTGTACCCGCCTCGGTTGCTGTCGTCAACAAAGGAGTTGCGCTTGAGAGTATTTGGGGCACTTAAATCTCTTTCGCTATTTAAGACCATTCCTCCTCAATTCCAACGTCTTAGGAGATCTGTATTGACGACCCAGTGTCCTTATTGACCTTCCAACCTGTTTTTTTGCTCTTCTCACCAACGTTTGTGACCTCTGTACAGTAAATGCACGTGGTCTTCCAGTTTTTGAGAGATTCAGACTTTGTATTGGTATTGGTATTCCCTACTCACATTCCGCTATTATTCGATAAATGGTTCTGCGTGAAATTTTTTCATTCTGGAATATTCGACAGATTTCAGCTTTCGGTACCCGCCCAACTTGTAGATACATTATCTTATTTCTAATTTATACATCTTAAAGCGAAAACTTCATAATAAATAAATATCACTTCATAGTAAAGTAAGTAAACAAACTTTTGTTTCCAACGACAACGTGATGTTATTTTGTGTTTGTTAAAATTAAAGTCAATGAATTTTGTGCCAAAACTTTTAGGTCATACGTTACCTTTTTCCGTAGATGTTAGCTGAGTGCTGATTCTGAAGTTCTGCCTTTGTTATATAGCCTTTATGTTCTTGAATTCTACATTCCACTAGCCTAGATGTTTCGCCAATGTAACATTTACCACGGTCACGGTTTATTCTATATATTGAATGTTTTGTGTTTCATTAGTGTCTTATTTTGTGTTAGTTGTTTTAAAAGCACCGAGTCCTCCAGATAAACCTCTTATGTATGGTATACAGAGTGTACTGGTTGTGAGCTCGTTGGCAGCTTTCTTGGAGATATATGTAGGTGGAGAGCTAAGTGAGTAAAAGTCAAATTTCATAACGTTCATATTGTATATCTCCATAAGATAAATACAGGGTGACTTCGAAGTTGAGTCATTTATTTTAGCAGTGACTAGATCTGATCAAAAGAAATCTTTTTTTCCTTTAACATTTTTCTGGCAAAATTAGAGTAACAAAGTTATAGCCCTTTAGAAGTTTGAGTACCGCCCTGTCTCAATAATAATATTATGTGCTCGTGTTTGGCAACAACGGATATAATCCGCCTTATCGGTTCATCGCATCGGAAACAAAAAAGCGAAAGAATTTGAAACGCTTATCACGATGTTTTTACTACAATTTTATTCAGTTGTATTCAGTCAATGTGTCGGTCGGTAACGGGAGAGTGAATAGTGGTGTTTGTTGCGTGGCTCAAACGGAATAAAAAATGGCACATGTTTACGCAAATGCTGAACTTGTGGACATGATTCTTATTTACGGGGGGGGAGTCTTTGCAAAATGCTGCCGCGGCATCACGGATTTATGCGGATCGGTTTCCCAATCGAGTGCAACCAACCCCTCGTGCCTTTGTTAATGTAGTACAAAGGGCTCGTGAATCAGGTGACTTAAGACCTCACAGGGGAGGGCATGCCGGTGCTCCAAGACCGCACGATCAAATACAGGTCCGCACTGAAATACTTGTCGGGAGGATACTTTATAAAACAAGGTAACATTTTTTTTTAAATTTTTTTATTTTTACACACATTTTGGTTTATCTTCCTTCTACAATCATTATCTGAAAATTAATGACTCAACTTCAAAGTCACCCTGTATATTGACCTGCGGTTTTAACCAATTTATAGGATTTGTTATGATCTTTCCAGTCAACATAAAAAAATCGTATAATTGGATTTGGCATTTTCAAAAAAATCAAAAAAAAAAGAGCTGACACTTCCACAAAGCGTTATCTAGCGGGTACAAGTTGGACGAATCTGATGAGATTGAGCATTCATTGTGAGTGCAGGTGAACAAATACTCTTTTAAACAAAATCAAGATCATCAAAATCAGTGCAGGCAAACAGAAGTTATGTGACTTTTTCTGAAATGACATTCCCCACCCTAAATTAACCAACATTTGAGTAAAATACATGAACATAAAAGTTAGAAATTGAGCGATCATCACGATAATGAGTATGTGAATTATAGATTTTTGCGAAATAGTGACGTTTGAATTTTTGAAATTGAAATGCCTCCACCTAGCAACTATTTTACGAAGCTGAAAATAATCTACAGACATTTCTCTTGGCCACTTTTAGTATAAAATCTTGTAACCAATATGTTTAGGGTGAACTGTTGGGAGGATACAGCCTGCCTCCTTTATTATTGCCCCATCCGGTACATTGGTCTTAATAAAAATGGTTTGGTGATTACTGCCCAGACTATGCTAAGCTACACAGGGGAGGTGGGGAAGCCGCGAGTATAGATGGTTAAAGGCTGTGGTTAAAGGCTTGGTGCGGCATCGACATTAGCAAGTTTCAGACGTATGGGTTTATCTGGGAGAAATACGCCGCAGTTTCCTAATAAAGTTGAGCAAGCGAGCGAATGAAAAACAACCAGCACACCAGCTCCGATGGGATATAAGCTCGACAGGGAGCGATAGCGTTGGAGAAAGTCAACCGACAGTTGCGGCAACACACACAGTGCATTGAAATAGGGCAGTTCTGATAGATGTCAGGTGATTAGCTAATTTACCCATGAGTAAAATGTTTTGGTAGTCCAAGTGCAAGTAGTACCAGGGAGAATCTCAATTTGATACTGATTTTGTTCTGCAGCATTGGTGTTTGAACCAGGTCATATCCGTACATCATCTATTCCGACAACAGACATTGTTGATCATCTCAGAAAAAACTCTATATTTTACAATAGGTAATGATAACTCGTGGACTGCGAAGGCCACGGTTGTTGTGTAATGATCTGTACTTTGAAGAAGCACACAGAAGTGACCGAAATGTTAGCAAACAGCAATCCAACATACGTGGACTCATCTGGCAACCAGTCAAACATAGCCATATTAGCATGGAAACTGCATGATAAGTTTTGGAACTTACATTACACGTAATACACGCAATTTAATACTTTATGAAGCTTTGAACCTACACCATACTATGCTATCATGTGACTTATTGTTATATATAAACATATAATTTATGTATGAGGCGAGCCGGTAAGTACTTAGCCTTACCGCCCTATGGCGCCACTGTTGCAAGAGAATTATTATCGTGTAGTTCATTCTCGTGGGCGGCTACTGTCAAAATTTTAGCCAAATCGGATTCCTAGTTAGTAGATAGTCTACGCCGCTAGATGGCGCTGTACAAACCAAACGAAATCTAAGTGTCATTGATGAGTTGGGGGTCTCACCGCTAGATGGCGCTGCAACTGTCGTCTGTCAAACGTCATGTGTCATTGACCTCACCGTAAGATGGCGCAGTGTGCGTGCGTGATTGCGTCATTTGTTTGTCGGGATGGTCCGTAGGTGCTTCGCCCATTTTTCGCACTTCAATGTACGTTAGTCGAATCTGTCAGTCCTGGTTGCCCAGAAACCAGACAAGCAGGTCAATTCTGTTTGCATCTGGCCTAACATATTGCTATCTTAACCATATTGCTCGAACTGAAACTATTAACAAGACTGTTTACCAAATTCATATTCTGTTCACTACCCTTTGGCAAGTATTGCTAGGAGTTTCTAGAGCTAGCAATGTTGTTACAGGTAAAGATATCACGTGAGCATTTCAGTTGATGCTAATCTTGGCAACACTGGCGAAACCTGTCATCTTCTTACATTTTTCTGTTCTCTGTCAAATCCTGTCTTGTCACCCTTGTCATATCCGACCGGTCATAACCTCATTTTATAACACGTTTATAACCGACTGCGACTAAATTATTTCTTTGCTGCCAACCTGTGCCTTGTTCCTTGTATTGTTGTATACAATTCGTCATGGCGAACTCAAGGAGCAAACGAACCAATAAAGATCAAATGGAGATGATAATCAATTTTCTTGGGGAAAACCGGGTACTTGTCACACAAAAAATGCACCCGTTGAACACGGGTGACTGTGAACCTTTGTGGGATGAATTGACCGAGAAGTTGAACTCTGTGGAGAACGGTGCAAGAAAAGATAAGAAACAATGGAAAACTGTAAGTACCTAATCGTATTATCGAAATACTAAAGATAAAAAGATGTTCATTATTATCATAATATTCTTTTAGTTTCTGTACGAGTGGAAATCAAAAACTAAGAAGAAGGCCCGTATCCATAAGGCTTCCATCATGAAAACGGGAGGTGGTGGCTACACTTGTAAAGACCTGACAGATTTGGAAAACCGACTGTTGAATGTATTAGGGGGTTGGATTCATGTACTAGGATGCCCCAGTTTAACAAATATTGAGCCTGGACTACCTGCAGGACTTGAATTAATGGATCAAGATGTCACTGAGATACAAGAAGGTGCAATAGAGCAGCATGAAGCTGAAAGACAAGAAGAAAATACCGATGAGATATCTACACCAATACCATCACAAACACCAAGACGTGGAACAGGTAGGTTGTTAGTATAATGCTAATATGGTATCGCTAAGGGGCATCCGCTCTTAAAATTCCAAGGGAATATCAACCTGTTTGTGTAATTTGGTAGCCTACTATTTGCAAAATGTTTTTTTTTATTGGTGCCTTAAAAATAAAGGAGCAAAGCATTCACATGTTAAGCTTGCACTAGTTTAGTTATTCCACTTGATGAAATTTAATTCATACAAAAAATATTTTGTTTCCTAACTTTCTTAGAAGTTAAGTTTGCTTGAACTATACAATTTTTTACAAAGATATGTTGTTTGAATAATCAACTGTCTCTCATTCAGGAGAGAATTATTTTCTGACAAGAAGTTACAAGTGATTCACTGACCAAAATATGATTTAAACAAATAACTTGATTATTTAGTTGATTTTTTATACCAAGCTATATATACATGTATGTTCTGACTGTTCTTATCAAGTGTATTGTTTTTGCAGCTCCAAGGAAGAAACAAAAGAGACCGCATGTACAGAGCACACAGCTGCACGAAGCAGCTGAACTTTATGCACAAAGCACCAGCGAAATGGCTGAAGCTGTGAAGGTGATGGCTGGTGCAATATCACAGTTAGCTCAAGGGCTATCTGATATAGCAATTGCTCTAAGCAACATATCAAAAACCTGATGTCATGTAATAAAAATGAAAATACTAAAATCTGCATTAAATATTTATTTTAGAGAACATTTTCTTACATAATTCACCTGATCTAAAACGGGCTTTCCAAATACCAAAGCCCCTTTCAACCACATTGCGTGTGTTGATATGTATACTGTTATAGTGAGCTTCGGGGGTATTAGCTCTTGTTTCGAGGATTGGTGTCATCAGCCACGGCTGGAGAGGATATCCTGAATCACCAAGTAGGTAGCAGTTTCGTCTTCCATCTTCATATTTTTGCTTAAGATGTCTCTGTATGTTTGAAGAGTCCCATATTGCTGCATCATGGACTGCTCCAGGATACTTCGCATTTACGTTAGTAATCATTAGGTGAGAGTCGAAAATCTGTAAAATATTGCGAATTTATGTTCTCAGTCAAGGCTTAACAAAAAATGAACTTACTGCCTGAACATTTACACTGTGGAACCCTTTTCTATTAATATATGCTACTGATGGATTAATAGGATCATCTGTTTTGGGTCGCACTATCGCAATATGTGTACAATCGATAACGCCTACAACATTTGGGAATTGATGATTCTCTAAAAATCTGAAAATTGAAAAACTCATGATATGATGTGGCCATTATGTAGAGAAAATACCTACATACCCGTCTTTGACTCTCCTAACTTCTTCTGAAGTTGTTGGAAACCTGATATATCGAGGTGACAAATGTAATGCAATTAGTCTGCTTATTTTGTTTATAAGTCTGCTCATTACAGGTTGGCTGATTCCGATATTAAAGTCGTGTCCTACGGTTGTTTGATAACCGCCATGGGCATAAAATAATAAACTTGAAAAGACCTGAAAATAATTTGTTGAAGATTCATAGAGAAAATAGATTCTATTTAGAATGAATTGTGAAACGTTACAAATTCATATTACATATCAGTTTGATTATACACATATATGTACTATTACTAATCATTATTATTATTATAGTAAAATGTTGATTATTTTGTTACCTGCAGATGAAAAGGTACTGTGTCTCTTCTGGTAGGTTCATCAACGTATCCTTGTAGCTGAGTAATTAGATCCGTTGCTGCTACTTTATTCAGACGAAACAATTTTTTGAACTTGTCTTCAGCAATTTCAAACGGATTACTTGCGTCTCTGATATTTCGGAAGTGCAAGCGTAAACTTCGACTGCAATGTTTGTTGGTCATGAAGTTACACAAATAAAAAACTGTATGTTAATCCTCTTACCTAACTAGAACGTTTTCAAATGTATGGCGAAAGTTTACATCAAAATTCACAAAAACCGGATTGACGGCCATTTTTCTGCAATAACAATGTTGTTACATTGATAGCAAGTACTTAAATACTATTTGCCGAGATAACAAGATCGAAAAACAAGAACTATTCAAAATGACAGATCATCTGGCTAAAATATATTGAACAGAATAGGACAATCGCAAACATTGTTAAATCATAGCAAGATCTCTTCATAATAACAAGTAACAATATTGCTATAGCTAAACAGAATTGGCCTGAATGTCAAGGAAAAAAAAAGAGAAATAAAAAGGGAAGACCTGGGCTTTTTGTCTTGGTGCACGGATTAATTTTGAGGTGAACTAAAAACAAGTTTCGATTCAGGTTTTGTTAGAGTGTAATTTTGGGCTTACTAAAAATCGGGCTAAATTTTTATCACAGTGCAAGCGATGGTCTTGAATGTTTACGAACTTGCTCCACTGTGTAGTGCTATCGGTCGGTGATTCGATTCTTGTTTTTGGAGGGGAAATCGCGCAGCGAAATCAAGGAGCCGTTGGATGTTCTGTACGGTGACCCTTCTCCTCAGATGGCGACTGTCAAACATTGGTTTAACAATGAAATGCGAAAGGCTTTTGCGGCCATCATCCAATGTGATTTGGTTGGTTTTTGTGTAGTTAGGCCATCGTAAAACATGTTTGCTTGACGTTTCGCCAACACGAGAGGTTGGCATCTTCAGAAGATGTTAACAGTTCGGAGTGCTGTGAGCTACTGACATCTCCGCGGTCTTAGCTCATATTTACAGATATATGTGGCTCGGGTGGTGGGGAGAGCTCTTGGGGAATCCTCTGCTGGCGTTGCACTCGGCTGTTGTTTTGCCATTTGGATGACGCAATTTCCGTGTTTCTTCATACTGGTAGCCAGGTTTTGTGTACTTTCAGTGAATCCTCTGTTTTGTTAAAGTTGTCCATCTGTTTGTGTATCCCTATAGCCTCCCTGTATAATCTATCATGGTATGCTAGTGTGTTAGCAATGTCCTGAGCTTCTTAAAATTTAATACGGTGCCCGTTTTGGTGAGTGTGTGTTCGGCTACACCAGATTTTTCTACTTGACCCAGACGCTCTTTGATTCTGGTATTCACTGATCGTTTTGTTGTTCCGATGTACCCACTTCCACAAGTACAAGGTATGTGGATAGACGCCCGAAGACGACGATCTTTTGCCGATCTCAGACTTTCACTTATTTTTGTCGTTGGCCTGTATATTGTTTTGACGTCCTCCTTAAAAAGTAGACGTCCAATTCTGTCTGTGACTCTGGGAATATATGGCAGAAATGCTGTGGCCACTGGTTGGTTGTTTTCTTTGGCTCTGGCGTTACTTGATGACATGGATTTTCTAATTTCCAGCTCTGAGTATCCATTGGCCATTAAGCTGTTCTTTAGATGTTTAAGTTCTAAATACAGCTATTCGGATTCTCATATTCTCCTGGCTGTTTCTGTTAGTGTTTAAATGATGCCATATTTCTGAGAAGGGTGGTGATTTGAGTTCCTATGCAGATACTGATATGTGTGCTTTGTTTTCTATATACCGTATGTCCCAGTCATCTCTCTCCGCGGGTTAGTAATACGTCCAAGAAAGCCAGTTTGCCGTTGTCCTCTAGCTTCATGGTGAATTTGATGTTGTTATGCAGGTTATTGATATGAGTGAGGAATTCATTAAGTTTCTCAGGTCCGTGGCTCACTATTACAAAAGTGCCATCGACATATATACAAACCCAAAATATGGTTTCGATATTTCGATATTGTGCCGATTCGGTGAGGTATTGCAGAAAAAACGGTCCCATTTGGCGAAGAACAAAGTGCTCTGCCACCATGACAACGCTCCGGCTCACACCTCGAATGAGAGGGTTACCGCCACTTTGCTGACCTCCAGAAAACGTATTTTTTATACGGGTTAATGAAGTTTGAGCATCGCTGGATCAAGTATATCGAACTAAAAGGAGACTGTGTTGGGAAAAAATCGCCACTTTTCCAAAATCTTCATTTTTATTTTGTAGGCTAAGTACTTATCGGACCACACTCGTAGGTCGTAGCTTGGTTAAGCGTAATACGAGGAAATAACAACTGACATTTTAACTCAAGTAATAACGGTCAGCACTTCGCCTGTCCTAATTTTCGGTAGCTGTTGAGTGTCCACCTTATAAACTTAAAACGCCACTGGAAGTATGCAAAGTTATTACATTGTCTTTCGCCTCTATAGGTCATTAACTGAGCGGTTCAAGATAACAAAATGTATACTTGAGAAAAAGCCGGTAGTATCAAGGTATATATTATAATAATACAAATTTATTGTCTTGTACTTTGGAGTCGGGATACTAATGTTGCCTAAACGTCTCTATAATGATTCAAAAGTAATGAATTGTGTAAGGCTTTCACGACCATCATTAGCAGCAGCAAATGTTTTTGGGCTATTAGGTCGTTGTTCTTCTATTTTGAACTCAGGAGCACCGCGGCCACCCTGGATACTCATAAATGCGAATAACCCGCTACGAGAAGCGGCAGTGTCATGTCAGTGTCATCGTAGACTTCAAGATTGCAGAGCTTGTGAAGATGCCAACCGCTCATGTTGACGAAACGTCAAGCATTCAAAATAGAAGACAACGGCCTAATATCCCAAAAACATTTGGTAATTCAAAAGTAACTTCCTAAACTTGTCTTGTAGTAGTTCCCTAACTCATCGCACTTTAGCCGATCTCGCAGTTTTGACAGTTCATCAACGTTAAAGTTGACTTATTTTGAAAATGACTGCTTTCTATCTTATGTCTTTTGGAATTGTAAAAAAAGCTTAGGCAACCACGGTTCTGCGAGCCATTTGTCTTGTATGACAAGATTTTCCAATTCTCTGTTAATCACGTTTGTAAAACAAGGCAAAGCCAGACGCGTTGGTGATCTTTCGGGATGTACAGTGTTTTAATGAGCAGTCGGCGTTGCTTCAAAGATGGTAATGATCAGCCGTCAACATTTATCACTTGGAAATAAAATTGATCCCCTTCGCTATATTCGCCGATGTACCGTACCTACTACAAATCATATCTCAAGGCACATCGAGAAGATTCGAGGAAGTTTCGCAATTAATTTATCTCCGGCTGGTAGGAATAAAGTCCCAACAATAAAAAATGAAGCCTTATTATTTGCGTCAGCTTTCACGTGTCACTGGATGAATTTTTACAAAACCTATGAAAAAGCTTGTTCACCAAAGACAGACACTATGGCTTGCGGAAATATACTGAAGTAGTGAAACAACTACGTATCATCAACACCAAACAACAAGCAGAGCTGCGATAAAACAGGCGACGCCTGTTATATCTAGAAAAGCTGAAGAGCCTAGTTCATCTCAACCTCAGCTCAAGAATGTTGGTGAGAGATTCCAGGTTGTCGAAAGCAACTAGTGAAAATAATTCAAGCACATTTAAATAAGTGCAGAGCGGCACACGATTTGCTTGACCAATTCGCCAAAGAAAATTGGATAGATGTTGCACTGGAACTAGATCCGAATAAAAAGATAATAGAAGGTAGTCCATGGAAATCAGATGCAGATGGGGATCCTGCAGTTAGGATAAATAACCGTACAGATGAAACATCTATTAAGGGAATGCGTACAAAAAGGGGATGATTTGGATAGAAATGGAAAAAGTAGATTTGTGCTCTGTACACATTTCGCCAAGCATATCAATGGAAGACAACTCGGTGAGACTAAATGAATTTGTTTGGAGAATAGCGTACAACATAGCTATGAAAGTGATTATTTCCGAAGTGCTCGCTCGTCGAATTGAAGAGGTTGCAATGCACTTAAAAACAGGTACGAGGTCCTTCAGTTTCATATGCTTCCGGGAATTCGCCTGATAGGCTTTGCTGACGACCTTGAGGTCACTAGGAAAGAGAGAGGTACACTGGAAAGGCTTCTGGCATATGGAATCATGAGAATCACCATATGGATGAAATATAATATCTTGAAATTAGCTTCTGGGAAGACGGACGTGGTTATGTTTTCGACTGACTGAACAGATAAGGCTTATCGTGGATACGCCAAATAAAGTCGTTGCACCCCTGATACGGTTCATGTCATCTGTTGGAGGACCCAGTAGTGAGTGGCATAGGATTTTGGCAGGGGTAGCTAAATGGATTATGCTGTCCACAGGACCTTGAGGAAAAATAAATGTAGGCAGCTAATGCACAGAAGCCAGTGAAAAGAGTGCTGCGGGTGGTCTGTGCCTACAGAATAGTCTCGACCGATGCACTGCTGGTGGTGGCTGATATCTCGCCAATTGATTTGCTGTCTGAGGAGAGATGCACCGAAGCCAGAAGCGACGAAATGGAGGCACTTTTTTTCAGATGGCAAGAGAGACGGGATGTAACTAGCCATTGTGCATGGACTAGAAGACTGATGCCAGATATTAAACTTGGATTGACAAGGAAGCGGTACGGATATCACAATATACGCCAAATGCGAATATTGCGATGAAGAGGAGGATACTCGTAATCATCTATTCGAATGTAGAAGGGCTGACTTCCAGATACTGCTGGAATTGACGACTGGCGAGGGGCTCACTTCTGGCAGTTTTGCGACGCATGTTAGCGAGGGCAGACGGGTTGATATTCAACCCAATAGTGAGGCGGATGATGCTGAACAAGCTGCAGGAGGACTAAAATAGGAAGAAGAAAATCGCGTATGTACATGTACATGGGTAGAATATATGTATATGTACGATGGAGGGTAGATAACTAATACCTTTGGTATGAAAGCTATGAACACTGTTACGAAATGCTATAAGAATTGCCGTGGTGGGATGTTTGATGAATGACTGAGGAGAATCTTACACTTTGTACAAGAAACGCCGACAAGGCAATACTGTCGAGCTTTTTGACATAGAGTGGATATAAGAGCTTTCCACTATCAAAAAAATGGGCCTATTTAACTGACTTGAATCATTAAATTCCTTTGTTATACGTTTTTCTAAGGGGCTACCTTATGCTAAACATAATAATTTATGAAGTGATGTCAGCGTTGCATGAGAAGCGTAGAGTCAACCTACTTGACATTTTTCAAATCAACAAAAAACGGGGGTGCGATTTTAGACGCTTCCATTATATTTGGAGA